CCCCAGGGCAGCCCCCCCCCATGCAAACAGACCTGAGGGTGAGTCCCTTGAGGAAGTTGATGCAGACCTTGCTGCCCACGACAGTGGCCTCAGGGTAGAGGTCCAGCACCTGGAGGGTTGGGGTGGATCGGATGGGGCAACGTGTGGTGCGGGCTGAGTGGGTTGTGTATAATCAGTGCTTTGGGCGGATTGCATGTGGTGGACGGGCTGCATTTGTTGGTGGACTGCACTGTGCTCTGTGCAAACAGGGTGCGTTGAGGAGTGTTTCGCAGGGGGGATGCGCCGACATGACGAGTGGCCGCCCCGGCGTGCCTCTGGGCTGCGAGCGGGCGGGCTCGACCCGCGATGCCCGCAGCGAACCCTGGCAGCAAACCCCTGGCTGCTGCGCCTGTGCCGGCCCCCACGACCAACCCGGCCCCGCCCTCTCGAACTGCGCCTCAACCAAAGAGGGGGCCAGGCCACGCCTTCCCCTGCCCTCTGTATATGCGCGCGTGTGCTCGCGCACATGCGCGCAAACACACACATGCACACACACATGCGCACACACACACAGACACACACACACACACACACACACACCTCCTCACAGTCACCCACTCACCGCAGGGACCAAGAAGGAGTGGTCGGGCTCAGTGTGGCTGACCACAATGTAGTCGATGCCGCGGCCGGCTGCCGCCAGCTGGTCCTTCAGAGTCTGTACACGCGCGCGCATGTATGTGTGTGTGCGTGTGTGTGATGGTGGGTGCGGCGAATGGCAAGGGTGCAGACATTGCAGCGGCGCGCAGCCGCGTGCGTCTTTGGTGCAGCTACAGGGGGGTAGGGGCGCTGCGTCGGGCGGGGCCCGTGAATTGAGGGGTCGAGGGCTGAGAGCGGCGCAGGGTTTGTTTGCTGTGGCGTGCTGGGGAGGGGCAATTTCCAGGGGGAAGGGAGTGCCGCAGAACGGGCCCGCACACATGAACGCTCGCACACGTGCCATCACAACAAGGCAGGGGCAGGCCCGGCCGGCACCGTTTGCCGCGGCCTCGTGGCTCGCGGCCCAGGCAGGGCACGCCCCCTGCGCTCCGTTGTTTGGAGAACTTTTTGAGCACCATCAACCCTTGGACGTGAAGGGCTCACCTGGATGTACAGACGGCTGAACTTCTCATGGCTGCGCCGCAGGGCAGACGGTTTTGGGGGGAGCACAATGGGGGCCATGCATTGTCGGGATGCAAGGGCCAAGCGTTGTGCCGGCGGCCGCCGCTCGGACAAGCAGGCGCGCCCCCGGCCCCTGCCGCTCTCAGCGTGCAGCATCCGGCCCCCCGCCCCGCCCGCGGCGCCTGGGAGCGTCCCCCATCCCGTCGCCCGTGCGACGGCGCCGCCCACCTGGCATCAATCAGCGCCGTGTAGTCATCGCCAAAGATGATGTATGAGTTGTAGGTGGTGCCCTTCTCAAGGCTGCGTTGAGCGGTGAGGGGGGCGGGGTCCGTTCCTTGTTGGGGGTGGGGGGTCGCGAGCTGTTGGGGGCGTTGGGCAGCTGGGTCGGGGAAACATGACCGTCGCCCCATTGTGCGGCCGCCTGCGCACGCTCTCTAAGCACGCCTGCCGGAACGCTGCGGCGGCGGCGGCCGCGCCGGCCCGCAGGACTGCCGCCGCGCCGCCAAGCCCTAGCGCTCAACATTCCCAGAACCAGCGCCAGAGCCAGCGCCCCGCGGTGGCTTCCCTGCTTCCCGACGGCAGGCAGCGCCGCGCGGTGCCGCCACGGCAACGCCCGCCATCCCGCCACCTTAACGCGCCGTAGTGCTGGTTTTCGCCCATGGCAGGGTCTGCTCTTCGGCCGCCCTTACTGTGCGCCCCGAAGGTCCCACACACCGCCACCGCCACTGCCCGGCAGCTGCGCATGCGCAACATTTTGTGATTTCGCCAGGTCGGCGGCGTCACCCACCCAAACTCAATATCAAAGCGGTCCCTGTCGTAGTCCAGGGACCGGATTGCGACAGTGTTCTCGGCCAGCTGGAACACCTGGGTCTGCAGCCGCTTCTCCTTTTGATACATCTCCACCGCGGACATCATGATCGTGCCGGGCTCCTGCACCGCGACCGCCGCGGCGCCGACCGCGCGCGGCACGCCCGACGCCGAGGCGGCGACGGCGACGGAGGGGGCGCGGGAGCGCGGGGCGCGGCAGGAAGGCGCGGGGCGGGGGACGGGGGCCTGCCCGAGGGCCGAGGGGAGGGGGCGAACGGGCGGAGGGCGGCGCGCGGCGCCAGCAGCGTGTGGGAGGCATGGGGTGGCGCGCTCGCCAATGGTGCGCGGGGCAGGCTGCTGCTGGCGAGCGCAGCTGTTGCAGAGAAAGCGACTGTTCATGGCGCAGGTATGGCCGCTGCCGTAACCCACCTTGAGGCTCGGGAGGGGAGTTCCCCTCGAGATGGCCCCGCTCGAGAGTGCACGCCCAGTCTGCATGCTGCCAAACGCACTCATGATGTATACGACACCAATTGGAGCAGCGACGACACCGTTTGTCAAGCACAGATCACCACCACTCCGTGCTGAGCACTTGAAGTACGGTAGAGGCTTTCGTCAGGAAACCGGTCTGCGGTCACGGGCTGGAAACATTGACAGGTAAAAGCACGATGTGGTATGCGTTACAACCATGCCAAGCCCGACTGAAGCTACACAATCCAAGCATGAGCACTACTGTGAGCCACACTGCGTCGCCTCAGGTGCCAGCTCAACCGCGCTGTCGCTCATCGCGCACCAGACTCATGCACGTCCAAAGCGCCCTGCGCTTCACATCATGTCCACGGCCGGCACGTCGGGCATGTCCTCGACATACGAGTCATCCTCCAGCCCGTCCGGCAGCCCCTCGCCCTCCTCCCCGGTCGCAACCTCCATCACGCCCCCCTCCCCCGCCCCCTCGGCGCCCGCCCCCTGCTCCTTGGCCGCCGGCTCGCCCCCAAGCGCCACAAATTGCGCGGCCAGCGCCTCGGGGCTGTGCTTTGCGGGGTCGTAGCCGCGCTCGTCGGGCTCTGGCACCGGGTCATGCCAGTAGTCCTTGGCCAGGATGGCCCACACAGGGGTTGCCTGCGCGGCGTCCTCGATTGTGATACCCTCCGGCCTTGAATGGTTGGATTCATAAGCAAAGCAGGGAGCGGGGTTGGGCGGGGGATGGCACGAGTGAGGGCAGGGTGGGGAGGGAGGGGAGATGCCTGACTGGACATGCGCAGGGCACGCACACGTGTCGGCCACCCGCCGGCGCTGCTGGCGGCCTCCTGGCGCTTTGGGCACATGCGTTTGAGGGCACACACAACCACTGTCGCGGCAAACCTTGCTGCACTGACAAGCGGTCACCTTACCCCAGCGCACACACTAGGCAAAAGCAAGCACGCATGTCTGCGCACACACTTACACACACTCTAATTCTCTCTCATATGCACACACACACACACATACACACGCACCTGATCCTCAGGATGGGGGTGTCGATGTTCTCGTGCACCGTCGTCACCGGGGCGCGCGACAGCACGCGGCTGGCGGCGTCAAACATGTACAGCGACGTCATGTCCATGCTGCGGGGCTCCAACGTGGCGACGCCTACAAAGTACATTTTCAGGACCTGGAAAAAAAGGAAGTTCGCGCAGTTGCGCCGCAATTAAGGGATTGATTGCAAGGGAGGGGATCAGCGTAGCTGTTGAGAGGTGGCTTCAGGAGTGAAAAGAGTGGATTGTGAGGAGACTGGGAAGCAGCTGCACGCACCAACCATGCTTGTGGTGCACGCGGGGCCCTGATGGAGCGGGGCCACGCGCCACCGCATAGGGCCGCCATGCCACGACAGAGCTGCAAAGCCACCCCGCCCCGCCGCGCAAGCCGGCAAGCCCTTCCTGACGGCCCGCGCGCAGCGCAGTCTCGCCTCGTCCCCCGCGCCCGCCGCAACGCCCGGGGCGCGCGCCCACCCGTGAGGAGGGGTCCTTGTTTCTCAGCAGGTCTCCGCTGCCGAGCTCGGCCCAGGGGATGCACTGGAAGCGCGCAGGCGCGGCCGGCAGGTTGCCGTCGTCGGCGCAGCGGTTGAAGAGGTCAGACTGCGAGCGGGCGCCGCGGGAGGGTGGGGGCGGGGCAGGGGGGTTTGACCGCCGGTCAAACGTTCGTCAAGGTACGAGGAGTGGCAGTCCAAAGCGCAAAAAATATGGCGATTGAGTTTTGAATTCAGAGTTTTCCGCATGGGTGCGGGGAGGCTCGAAGCTGGGAGAACGAATCGACCGCCCCGAAGGCACAATTGAGCAGACATCAAGGGGCGGCTGACGCACATGTCGAGGTACCAAGGGCCGGCCTGGGCAGGCGTGCAGGGCGGGTCTGGGCAGGCGCCGTGCAGCAGGCTGCGCGCGTTGCAGGCGCGTTCGCCGTGCCCGCCACCGCAAACGCGGCGCGCCCCACGCGCCCCTGTTCCCGCAGCCCACCTTCTCATCAAAGACAAAGCTGTCCCGCAGGTCGTAGAGGCCGTCGGCCGTCTCAGCCACCAGCAGGTCGCAGCCGTCCTAGGGAGGGCGCCGACAGCAAAAGGGTCAGATCGCCGACGCCCGTCGCTCTCCAGAGCGGCGGGTGGCTGTTAAAAGCCGGATCGCTAGAGCTGAGACGCCGCCCGCTGCGGGCGCCCGCAGTGACGAGCGTCTGCGAGGCCGGCGGCCCAGCAGGAACCAGGGATGAAAGTAGTCATTCCGGGAGGACAAGTTAGGTGGCGCTATGCGGCGGGGCGACCCAAGGCGTATCAAGAAACCAACCATCTTGAACGACGTGTAACCCGCCCTGTTGCTGGTCAGCCGCTGCGCGTCCGCCACGCTGAGGGCTGTCAAGCGGTCCTCCTCAGTGCGCGGCGCCGCAACCTCCGGAGTGACGTCCTCAATTTCCACCTGAGAGGCATCCGGCCGGCAGGGGCAGGGAGGGTGCGACAGGCCGAGCACGGGTCAGGAGGCACCAGAGGGGTATGGCAGGTCGGGGGTGGGTCGCCGCGGGACGGATGGAGGAGGATGGCAGTGGTTGAGGGGGCGCCGATCGTGCAGTGTGTTTCGAGGCAGGCCAGCCGCGCCATGCAGAACGACAGACTGCGGGCAGCAGGCACGGGGGCCGCCCTGCACCAGCGGCTGCGTCGCCGACGCGCCTCGCGCGTTTGCAGCCCCGGAGGGTGCGCCCCTGCCAACCCGTCAGGCAGCAGCCGAGGGCACCAGCACGCGGCCTGCACGATCGTCCGGCCCCCAGCTGCCGGAACCCCGGGCTCATGGCCCCGTGCCCACCTCGACCGAGGAGGGGTCGATGCGTCCGAGGCGCCGCTGCTCCTTGAGCAAGAGGTCTTCTGGGGTGGGTGTCAAGTCCTGGAGGGGGGGGGGGTGACAACGTTTGAGAGGGTGAGAGGCTTGGAGGATGTGAGGCGTGTGAGACGGTGCGGGCGGGATGGTGACGTTGCGAGGGGGGCGCCGGGGCGTCAGCGCGGCGTGAGAGAGTAAGAGCAGCGCGCGCCCAGGCCGCTGCCACGCAGCCGTGCTGCCCGTGCTGCCAATACGCGCTTCACCTTCTAGCCTCCAGAAGGGGCAAACCAGAGCTGAGCCGCGGAAACAGCATGCCGGCCTGCGGCTGGCTACACAGCTGCAGACGACAGCTCATAGCCAGGGGCTCGCGTACCCGGCAGCGATTGCCTGTTTGACTTGCCAGTAGCGCAGCAAAAGTTGCGGCCACAACACCCAATCAACACCAAGAGTGGGGCTCTTTGCGCAAACGCAACCACACACACACACACACACACTCTCTCACACTCTCACAAACGCCCGCACACACACATACGGCACTCACACACACACACTCTCCCTCTCTCTTCCTTCCTCTGTCTCTGTCTCGCTCCCTTTCTTTCTCCCTCCCAGACTCTGCCGCTTCATACAGTAATGTGACAAGCATTGCCCCAACC